GTTCCCCCCCCTTTATCATTATGGCCCCCACCCTTATTTTACTTTAGGGCCCCCACCCGTCATTTAGGGGTGGGGGCCAATAGTTTTTTTTTGTTTTTTTACAGTGAGCAGCCACACGCTGCTCACTGTTTAGTGGACTTGCCCCTGCTCGCTGTATAGCGAGTAGGGGCATTGGGGAGATTTTAATCTCCCTTGTGCTATTATAGGGGTCATATTGACCTCCATAGAGTGAGGGGGGACCTGGGGGGCTTATGAAGAGGCAGGGAGCACTGCTCTCTCCCGCTTCAATCTTTACATATTACAAGGAGGGAGCTGCATGCCGGTAGCTCCCTCCTTGTAATAAACTGAGCGAACAAACGAATACTGATACTCAGTGTTTGTTTGTTCGTCTTACATTTCTATTCACTCATTAGTCTGTCTGATGAATGAATGAATAGATGAAATTCCCGTTTGCATGTCCAGGTGTTTCACTGGGCATGTGCGGGAATCTCACAGTCTATCTAGTGTGGGCAGGTGACGTATCCCACAGGGACTTCCTCTACCCACACAAAGATGGCGGCGCCCTGAATAAAGATCGGGGCAGAAAATAAGGAATAAAAAATAGGTAATATGGGGGGCTTAGGGGCATTTGGAGGTGACTAGGGTGTCAGTTAGAGATAGTGGAGGCCGGAGGGGGGTTAAAAAAAAAAACAGGATTCGGCATGACAATGCCACTTTAAGTATTGCCTTAACCCTATAATTCTGGGTATTCTTGTGGGAATACTATAACTACTACATTAATTTTGCAACCTGCACTATTGTGTGTTTTTTGTGTTTTTTATATACCTTCTCTATATGTGCTGAGTGAAAATCAACTGAAGGATAAAGCATTTTAAGTATGACCTTCATTCATCCTATATTATCTCACAATTGCACAGATTATAGGCTTATCACCTAAACAGCCACTTCCTTAAAATATTGCTCCACTCTTTCCTATTTTTTTCTTGTATACAATATGTGTGTTTGAGGGCATTACATTTAGAGTGTGTGTTGGCAACATTTCACTATAACTTCAAATAGAAATGTAAATTTGTTTTAAAGGGCGTTTCTGTGTATGTAAGGGATGCAGTGTGTGTGTCTGTGAGAGGCGCATTGAGTTTGTGTAAGGGTTGCATTGTATGTGTGTGTAATGGATGCATTGTGTGTTTCTCTGTGTGTTAGGGAAGAATGCTGTGTTTCTTTGTGTGTAAGGATGCATTGTGTGTTTCTGTGTATGTATAGGGTATAGGGCATTGTGTGTGTGTGTGTGCGTAGCATGAAAGAAAGAGATTTGGGGGTAGGATAGGGGCTGAGTCCTACCACCCCCTTTGTGCTTCTCTCCCCCCCACCTTCCCCAGCCTCTCTCTCCTCCTGTCCCTTGGTGCTCTCCCCTGCCCCTTAGTGATCTCCCTGCCCCCTTTCCCATAGTGCTCTCCCCTTGTGTCTCTTAGAGCTCTCCTCTCCTGTCCCTTAGAGCTCTCCCCTCCTGTCTCCTAGTGCTCTCTCCTACCCCCCCTGTCCCTTGGTGTTCCCCCCATCCCTTAGTGTTCTCTTCTACACCCTGTCCCTTAGAGCTCTCCCCTGCCTCCTGTCCTATAGAGCTCTCCCTTCCTTCCCTTAGAGCTCTCTCCCCTGCCCCTTAGTGTCTCTCTTCACCCACCCCCTTAGTAGTCTCTCCTCCACCCCCTCCCTCTTTTAGTGGTCTCCCCATCTCCTCACTCCCTCCCTAACTTAGTGGTCTCTACCCCCCCATGTTCTCCTTACATCCCCTCCCTTAGTCTCTTCCCCCACATTCTACTCACCCTCCCTCCCACGTTCTCCTCTCCCCCCACCCTCCCTTAGTGGTCTCTCCTCCAACCCCCTCCCTCGGTTAGTGGTCTCTACCCCCCCACGTTCTCCTCACCCATTCCCTAATTTAGTGGACTCTCACACCCCCCTCTGTTAGTGGACTCTCCCCCCCACATTCTCCTCATCCCCCCCTTATTTAGTGGACTCTCCCCCATTCTCCTCACCCTCCCTCCCACGTTCTCCTGACCCCCCCTTCCCTCCCTTAGTAAACCCCACTTCCTTGTGTAGTGTGGCAAAGCTCCTCTCTGATCCGGGGTACTGGAGCTTCTGTTTCCTGTAACCGGCCGGACTGACAGGAAGTGCACACTGAGTGAGCACTTCCTATCAGTCCAGCTGGGTACAGGAAACGGATGTTCCTGTACTGTGGACCAGACAGAAGCTCGGCCACGCTACACTGAGGGACTGACAGGAGGGAGCGTTGTGCGCTTCCCTCCTGCTGATCCCTCATATTTGTGTGCCTGGGCGGTGTGCCCTAATGAACGTGCCGGCCCGGGCAGTGCTGCAGCCACCTGAGGCTCTCTATAAAGCGATCAGGCAGCTGGAGAATGAGAGGAGCCGGCGATGAAGGCCCAAGGCACCGTCTCCTAAGTGGCTCCCTAGGTCGCCTTATAGGAAGCGCTGGCCCTGAGGATAAAAATGATATGCAATATTTATGTCCCAAGAGAATTCAGCCTCTTGGAAGCCCCCAGTACATAGCCCAGTTTAGGAACAGCCACTGTGGGAATGGGTATCCTTAGTTACTGAAACCCTGGCAGTGAACCTATGGTTAGTGGTGTAAAGTTGGAATATGCATCCTTCAAACTAAGTTACAAGAAAAAGTTTCTTAAGGGGGACCACCCTTGGTATAATGTATGCATTTACAAAAATATCTTACCTTATTCTGATCTGCTATTCCTATGTTGAGATTCTCAATATTATTGGTCTATTCGAGCCAATTTTCTTGCTCATATGGTGTTCCTTGCTGTTTTTCTGATTGTTTGGTAATGTCTGGCTTTTACATCTCTTAATTTGGGTTATCGAATAAGCATTCAAGCTTGTGAATGCAGCTCAAATTTATTTGCTGTTTCATACGCATGTTTTCATTCGGAGGCCCAAATGTATAATTTAGTTATTCATTCATTCGCAGTGGCCGAAAGCACAAAATTAGAATTTTAAATGGTGCACTTTTAGACCTTTTGAGTATGCGCATTTGCATAAAAAAATCTAGAAACTTCAAAACTCATATATAAAGCAGTCTTTTATCGGCTTAGTTTGGTTGCAAACAGGAACTGGCTCTTTTGCTTGTCTACATTTTGTCTACCAGGGAGAATAGTACAAACTTTAATATTGGGACCTTTTGCATTTTGTTACAGTGTTCTGGAATATGTTTTCCCAAAAAATCTGGAGCTGGAGGAGGGAAAAAATCCCACAAATCAGACAGAAGTGCATCATGTGATGCTAAGGCCTAGGAAGGAAAGAAGCTCTGTGGCACATGTCTTTCAGAAACAGCAGGCCATTCTACAGCAGCAGACCCTCCACAAGAAATGATGAGGTGGATCCAAATGAAGGGGGAACCAAATTATGGACCAACATAGGTCCCATAAGTGACCTAGACATTCGATAAAGAGAGAATAGGAAGAGTCATTATAAGATATTTCTGAGGCTGAAATTACATTTGAAGATTGTGAAGGAATATATTCTTCACACTAAAATTCATGTCACAATTATCAGATTGGGAAGGAGCACAGGTCTCCCTCTATATGAAGCAGCATCCTCTAGAGACCTTATGGATTATCAAATTGATATGAATCTGTGCAAGAATTATGTAGCAGCTGGGGCAGCCTGTAGACCAGTGGTGACTTTAACATCAGGGGCTTAGGGACTCATGAAATGGCTAGCTCTTCTGGAAAAAGATATAAAGAAAGGAGTTAAGAGACCATCACTTTTGGAGTCTCTACCCAAACTCAGATGGGCAACATCATTTATTTCCTTTGCCTCTCTGTATTTGGTATGTACTCTTGCCAGAAATATGGCTATTTCAATGGAAGCACGCAGAGAATTATGGTTAAAATCATGGAACGCTGACCTTTTTGTAAGAATAGTTTGGTATCCCTTTACATGGACAACTCCTTTTTGGAAAGCTGCTAGATAATGCCATTAAACGAGCTGCAGAAGGAAAAAAAGGAAAAGTTCTGTAAGGAAAAAGCTCTAATTTCTGGCAGGATTGTAGATCCTTTCATGAAAGAATATCCATTTGAATCTAGGTCATACCAACCAGGAAGAACATTTTCTAGAACATAATCCTGGAAGGGAGGACAATCCTCCAGAGGAAACAGAAACAAGCCTTCCACTTTTGCCAGAACATCTAATAGCCCTTTCTGAAGTCCCTTTGAGTCCCCAGATTTCAGAGGTAGGAGCTCGTCTCCATCACTTCTGGAGAATTTGTAACCATGCAAACTTAGATCCATGGGTCATTTCTATTCTAAAAAAAAGGGATATTGTCTGGGGTTTCAACAGTTCCCTCATCAAATTTTTTTTCACAAGATCAAAGATACCCACGATCTCTCTCAAAAGAGAAATCTTGTAAGAGATTTTTCAAGCCATGTTCAGCACAAATCATTTTCAAACTTCCCAATCAGAGAAATATTTAAAGGGATGTACTAAATCCTGTTTCTGGTTCCAAAGCCTTCAGGAGATTGGCATCCAATATGAGATCTACACAGGCTGAATCTTTCTTTCAAAATCAGAAAATTCAGGATGGAATCTCTATCCTCAATTATTTCAGTGGTGCGTCCAGGAGACGTAAAGGACGCCTATTTTCATATTCTAATAGCAGATCACCATCAAATGTTTTTGAGATTTGCAATTCTGGGAGATCACTTCCATTTCAGATCAATGCCATCTGAACTAAGTCCCTTTTCAAAGGTCCTTCTAGCCCTAATAGCAGATCTAAGACAACAATGGCTAAATATACAGTATATCATTATTTGGAAGACGTTCTTTTGGTAAGAGATTCAAAAGAAAGTTTGTTTTAAATGTTGTTTTATTGTTTCATCTTGCAAAGTTTAGAAGAGGCACAATATGTTACAACATATTAATGTTACAACATATGTGTAAATGAGCAATATAGCATCTTACAGCATAGTAAAATAGTACATGTTTCATATGTTGGTACAGCATCATATCAACATTTGTAATCAAAATGCTCAAGTATGAATAATTGGTGACAGGCTTTGAGCAGTAGCAGTGAGAACAGCAACAGACTACATAAAAAAAAAAGAGAAAAAAAAATCAATTTCTGCACAGAATTATGTAGAATTGATAATCGACACAGCGTTATTTAGACATATGCAGTCCTGGATGACAAAGATGTGCCCTGATATTGAATTAAGAGCAATGTATAGAACAGGTAGCGTAGGAACTTATTAACACGAAAATCTTTTCAAATGTTTTTTTTTTTTTTAATAATAATAATAAAAATAACAATTGTAAATTTTTGTCAAAGTTTTTAACAGTCAATGATATTTAAACATTATGGTATATGAAAAGTGACATAATAGCAAGGATCTTTGTTATGGTTACCTTATCAATACTATGAGTAACAACACAAAGATCATAATGAAAGAAAAACAGAAAATAAAAACGGGGAAAATAAATAAATTGCGCATCTATAGTATTATACGAATAATTAAAATAGGGAAAGGAAGAAAAAAAAGTAAAATGTTTACGTCATTTTTTCTATATAAATATTGTATATTAAATGAGAAATATGGTGAATGAGAGCCAAACATAAGTGATAAAACTGTTTTTGGTCAGGTGGAAGCATCACCAATGGTACTTGGAGAACAAGCTTGCATCTTTTATTTTCAAATAAAAACAGTAGGACATCTCTGCCAGAGGGAATTGTAACAGATTTCCAATATCTAGGAATGATTGATGAAGCCGAGATTAGGAGGTGGCCTAACATTATTCTTTTGTGTTTTGGTAAGTCTTCAGGGAGGCATTTAAGTAAGCATAATCCAGGAGTTAAATCAACATGGAACTCAGTGATAGATATGATCATTTCTAATATTTTTTGCCAATAGTTGGATAGTTTCGGGCATGACCAAAAAATGTGGTATAAAGTACCTATCTCAAAATTAAATTAGATGTGGAGAGGTGGAGTCGAAACATCTTAAATGGGGAGAAATACCAGCGATAAATTAATTTTACATGAGATTTTAAGTGGGAAATGCAATGTGTAATGCCTATCAATGCAAGTAATGATTCATGCCATTCCTCCACTGTGAATACCTCACCCAGATCACTCTCCCACTTTGTCATGTATGGCAATTTCATGCCTCCGTCTCCTGCAAAAAAGGCATAGCACATGTAAATGGTTTGTTTCTGACCAGGGTCTGAAATTAAAACCTTTTCTAAATTTGACATTTCCAATTTTCTAATATTCAGATCCTGGTCGGAAATCCCAAAATGCTCGCTAAATGTGTAGAGGCATCAAAAACACTTCGCTGGAATATCTTCTGTAGCTGTTCAAATGGTAAAAAATTAGAATATAAGAAAAAATCATTAGTGCAATGAATCGAATGAGATGACCAATATTCTACATCTAATTCAGGCAAAACTAGTTTTAATACTGACAGAGGAGTGGCGCTAGACCAGACAGCAGAATAGTGAATTTTTTTGATTTAGTATATTCCAAGCCTTAATAGGGGTCTTGATTGTAAGTAACATGTCCGCCAACCTTGTGCGCTGAGATGGAAGCAACCATAAAATATCTTTAATCGATTGCGGAGAGAGTTTGCTAGCCTCCATCTCAAGCCAAAGGGATGATCATTCTCTTGATTGAATTTCAGCACCATCACTGCATTAGTTGCGTAATAATAATTAATAAAATCCATCAAACCCACACCCTCACCAACCCTGAGCTTCTGAAGTATCCTAGATGGTTTTTTATTCCAGATAGGTTTCAAGAGAGCAGAATGTACCGGTCATGATCTTGTGCAGGTCAGATAGGAGACTTTTGCCAGGGTTGACTTCAGGTACTTTATTAGTGATTTTAGACATATTATGAAACTTGAGGCAAAACAGAATTTAGGTAATATGCCACAAAACAGGATACCTGCAAATAATAAAGAATGTCTGTAATTTCCAGGTAAGGTTGTAACAAAGGCAGCCTGGTAACAGTGGAAGGCTGGTAACAGAGAAAGGCTGGTTACAGAGGCAGGCTGGTTAGAAGTATAGGAAAGCGTGGAGCAGGTTATATTTTTAGGAGCAGGTTTGAAGGTAAATCTGGAGCAGGTTGGTCTGAAGCATGTTCAGAGGAGCCAGGATATGAGGTGTTTCTGGTAAATCACCAACTTCACTGTAATGGCCAGTGGTATTCTCGGGTGTGGCCTTTTGTAGGATTTGTAATTAGTCCTAGGCAGGTGAGGACTGAGGTGACTAGTGGCTAGGGAGGCCACTAGTGGTGGAGAGCTGTAACTTCTTTTAAAGGAACATAAATAAATGAAGATAAAACATAGTTGTCAGGATAGAATCCTGACAGTACCTTTAAAAAAGAAGATAAAGGTATCGAAAGGGGGGTGGCTCTAAGAAAATATAAAATTTTGGGTAGGAGAGTCATTTTCATCGAATTAACCCTACCTAATCATGAAATTTCCAGACTACACCATCTCTCAGGATCGTTCCTAAAGTCTGACCAGACCTTACCCATGTTATAAGAATGCATCTTGGACAGGTTCTTGCATAGGTTAATGCACAGATAAGAGATATAAGAGTTCCTCCAATTGAAGTCAAACCGACCTTTCAAAGTGTCTAAATCATACCAAAGTATGTAGAAAGAGAGAGCTTGAGTTTTGGCTGTATTCAATTTATGGAAAGAAATTTTGTCGAATTCCTGCAGAATCTACATCAACCGAGTTAGTGAAGTCATTGGATTTTTAAGCAATAACATGATGTCATCTGCAAAAAGGCCTATTTTATGTTCCTTACCCCCTACTGCAATACCTTTAAAATCTGCGCTGCAGCGTATCATATCAGCCAGGGTCTCCATTACCAGCACAAACAGGAGTGTAGACAATGGGCAATGGGTTTTCAGAAACAAAACCAGTCACAGATACTCTAGCAGTTGGGTGACAGTATAGTGCAAACACAGCCCTGATGAAGGGGTCTGGGATGTTGAAATGTGACAGAACTTCCCTCAGGTAATCCCAATAGATCCTATTGAATGCCTTCTCTGCATCCAAACAGACAAGCAAAGGAGGTGTGCGAGTAGATTTAAGATGATTAATCAAATTGATGAAACGCCTGGTGCCATCAGGAGCCTGACAGTTTATAATGAAACCAACCTGGTCTTTGTCGGTTAGGGAAGGAAGAAGTCTATTTGCTAACATTTTTGAATAAATCTTTGTGTCATTATTAATTAATGAAATGGGACAAGAATTTGAACAGACATTAGGTGTTTTACCAGGTCTAGGTAACGTGACTATTTGTGCACAAAGCCTCCCTCGACATTCCACCTGTATTCCAATAATGATTGAATAGGTGAGTTAAATGACGGATTAGAATGCCAGAGAAAGACGTATAGTACGTCGTAAAATCATCAGGCCCTGTGGCTTTGCCTTGTGGGATCATATTGGGATCGGAACTCAAATTATACCATTTTTTGTAGTATTCCGCAAACATATTGCTTATCTTAACCGGATGAGTTACTTTAACGCCACTCTCATCCAGTAAATGCTCAATTCTAGATTGGGAAGCTCTGTGGCGTAGTTTAGAGGCTAACATTGAAGAAGCTCTATTCCCATTAGCATAAATAAGCTGTTTCAATCTCAGAATCATCAAGGCCATGTGTTCCAACTGGAGAGTATTAATTTTAACCTTGACATCTGAAATCTTTGCAGCAAGGGGCAAGAAAGGGCAAATTTTGTTAGCCTGATGCAAAGCACACAGTTCTTTTTCTAAATCTCTCAGATTTTTAGAACTGGATTTTTTTCCAAGTAGAAGGCTTGTTGTATAAAATGTCCACTAAGAACCGTCTTATGGGCATTCCACAATGAGGTATCATGTAAATATAGAGCCGAATTTTCCCTAAAATAATTATTAATCGCTGATTCAGCCAATGTTTTGTGTTTTTCAATTTGACAATTTTTATCATGGGGTACAGAATAGAAGAGGGGTATCCTCGGGGTCACACCACAGCACAACATTACTCAACATTAGTAACACATTAACACAACGGTGTATTTTGCTCTCATGTTATATTTTAGGGTTACATGTCAGAAACACTGGTCGTGCCATCCTCCCTGTGTTTCCTCCTTGTTAGGTGTACTGTGTTGCACTCCCCGCTTCTCCCCGATATTCCGCCCTTTGTGTTTTGCGTCTCTAATTTTCTAATTGTCCATGATATGTGATCATACTTTGCTGTAGGGAAAAAGGGAAAAAAATGAAAATAACAGGTAGAGATTGGATATCTGTTCTGTGTGAGATGGTAGTGGTGATGTTCGCAAGAGATATCCCTCTTTAACTATTTACAGCGTGGGTAAGTTGCAAGTGGTATCTTCTAACTTGAAAGTCGGCTAACCGACGTTTCATAGCTCATGTTTTGTGGTGATGATCCTTTGTGTATTTCCAAGAGGTGTTATTGTATCTGCACCCCCTTCCGTTTTTAAAATTTATTTATTTATTTATTTATAATTATTATTATTATTATTTTTTTAAATAGAGGTTCATATTACAAGTTTATTTATAATTTACTGCTGAAAGTCCCCTCCCTTGGTGTCGTAGTACCCTTTACTAATCACTAATCATTTGTCTACGTGCCTTCTAGGTTTTGGAACTTAGTTGTTGGAAACATAGTTGTTCCACTTCGATCTGGCCTCAAGCATGTGTTTCCTAGGTTGAATCTGTGTGTTTGCCATGCATTCGTAGTCTAGATTTGTTGATATTTGACCTTTCAAATTAGCCAAGAGTGGTATTTTGGTAGATTTCCATGCCCTTGCTATTAGGAGATTTTCTGCTATAGGGATGTGGAAGTGGAGGTTAGCATCTGGTTCAGAAAGTCTGTCTGAGTCCATGAATAATAAGCACATTTCAGGTGTGAGTGATATAGTCTGCCCTCTGAGATGTGATATTATGTTTCCCACCATGCTCCAAAAGGGGAGACTGTTATCACCTGACCACCAGGTGTGATACATTGTTCCCCACTCTTTTAGGCATCGCCAGCACATGCTGGATGTGTTTGGGTACATGTGGGCTAGCTGATCTGGTCCCATGTATCACCTGTATTGTAGTTTTCGAACTAGCTCCAGGTGTGATGCACAACTTGTTTTGTCTTTGTGGGCCAAAAAGGCTCTGGTCCAATGTGTTGTGTCAAATTCCTTACCTATGTCAGTTTTCCAGGCTACCATATACAGGTCACACATGTGTTAATAGATTGTATGTGGAAGAGAATATCTTTTTTGGTGTTGTCAGGGAGTCACATGTTCATTCAAAATATGCCATGATCGGTGTAATGGTTTGTGCTAGGTTGGGTAGTAAGATGGATTTAATTTGTGAATAGGAAAATACTGCTCTGGCAGTAAGGTAAAATTTGGTCTGTAGGTTCAGGAACTGTAGCATGTGTGTTTCTTTCATAAGCTGTCTTGTTTGTGTGTATCTTTTCTCTAGCCAAGTCCAAAAGTCAAATAAAGGGTTGGCAATGTGCAGGCTATAGTGTGGGGTATTCAATGTCCATTCATCCCTGTAACCGTGTTGCTTCCTTAGTCCATCCCAGACATCTAGCAGTAATCTGGTGGTGTGTAGGATATGTAATGTTGCAGGTCTCCAGTGCCCACCAACTCCATTACTCCCCTGATGCGGAGATTATTGCGCCAGGCCCGGTCTTTGATGTCCGCTAGCTTGGTGTCATAGCTTTCCATGTGAGACATTAGTTCTTCCACTTTCGAGGCCAAATTAATGTGCACCTCTGCTTGTTTGGCCATTTTGTCTTCTATGGCTTATGTCCTTGTACCAAGCTTGTGAAGGTCTTTTTGAAGTTGGTGTATAGAATTTTGCAGGATTTGAAGCATTTTCGCAGACATGTCATCGAGCATGTTTTGCATCACCGCTTCTGTGAGCGGGGATTCCGGGCTCGGCGGCCCCTGGGGTCCGTCCATATCCTCATCGGCGCCATCTTGGTCTGCCTCATGTTCCGCGCCAGTTTTGTTCTGTCCTGCCTGCGGGGCAAAAACGTGAGATTTTTTTTGCTTCTCCGTATGCCCTTTAGGTTTGGGTTGGGACATGGTGTTCAGAGTAGTTGTCTCGGGTCTTTTGTTGTGGCAAATGGCTCAGTTTTAGGCCGCACAGTGCAGCCAATGTTTTATTGTCAAGCTCTGTAACTAAATAATCATTAAGTCTCCACTGTCTGTTTGGGAAGGACTCCTCTATACATATTGTTATGGGGGCATGATCGGACCAAGAAATGTCCGAAATTTCATAGCGCAGAATAAGGGGTAGGATATTCTCACCCACCATGAACCTGTCGGTCCGACAGTCTTTCTCTCCTTCATTTTGTACACGCCAACAGTCGAATAGGCCCTGGGAAAAAATAAATTTGGAACAAATGTCAGCCGATTTTTCACTGTTATGATTTTTAGCTGCATTGTTTGCATCTCTAACAATATCGTATTCACAGTCTAGAACAAAGTTGGTGTCACCACCCAAAATCAATCTGCCTCTAACCCCATCTGATATTTTACTAACAATAGATTTCAAAAAATGAAATTACCCAGATTTATGGGAATATAGATTTACCATTTTACCAGAGTGTACTCAATACTATTTACTGAATCTTTTCAAATTAGGTATCTGCCATCTGGATCCAAAGTCAAATCATCTGTGTAGCAAGCTACATTTTTGCTAAACAATATGGAGATGCCTCTAGATTTCCTACAAAATGCAGAGTGATACTGGGTAGGGTAATCATTCTTCAGAATATTGGGTACATTATCTGTTTTAAAATGAGTCTCCTGAATGAACAAGATCTCTGGCTTGCTGGTTTTACTTCTTTAAATAGAAGTCTTCGTTTGTGCGGAGTGTTCAGAAAAAATTGGTGAAGGGATTTGAACACGCCGCACATCCCAAAACATATTTCAAAATTGAACAATCCTACCTGAGTAAGTAAGGTCCACCTGACTGATTTTATGTTTGACTCTATACATCACTGAAATATTATACCAAGGTATTACATCAGAATAATAAAATGGTACATTATGGATGACATTATCCTTATTTGTAAGACATAGATAATAAAAGGGTACAAGAATTTGGAGAATACCCCCTAATAAGGGAAAAAATGGAAGAATAATGTTCCCATACAGGGGCAAAATAAAATAAAATAAAAAATAAAGTATATATAAAAAACAAGACCATGAGAGGGGAAGCAAAAAATTCCTCCAACTCAAAAAAATGTACAGGCCTACTTTGGGGGGACAGTAGAAAGCAGAACATAAAATACATTGAGACACTAAAATAATAACATAAAACAACATAACAAGTAACAAAAAAGGGAAAATAATATTAGAAAATAAAAATATATATATAAAAAAAAAAGGGTAAAAATAAAAGATAAATTCACAGGATAAAAAAAAAAAGAATGACAAACAGAAAGTCATAAAAAATTTAATGTATATGGAGAAAAGAAATAAGTCCAGGATCAGGACCCGAAGAAAGGAACCAGGATCTGAAGAACAAATCATTGTAATGAATACCAAAGGACAGGAACTAGCAAATGAGCAGAATGTATGCAGAAATCCTGAACCGATCACCAGGAAACATTATTCTGGAACCTGAGAATGAGAACAGGTAATCAGGAACCAGGAACAAGGAATGGAACTTCTACTCATACTGGAAACCAGGAACAACCAACCGGTTACAAGAATTATGGTTCTTCATATGCATCGTGCTTGCTCCTCTGAAAGCTGTGAAAATCTGAGCAGTTTCTGAACAGATGCTAAAATGAGAAAAAAAAAAATAAATAACAAAAACTATTTCTATATAAGAGTATAAGTCCATAACAATATATCATAACAATACATTAGATAAATGCAGCCTGTGGTTAGTAGCATAGGTCACGTGGTGACAGTGGATCTTGGGCATGTGCAAAACCAAAATTATCGCAATAATGTATAAGGCTTAGCGAAACTTTGATGGTATTCATATTATTTTGGTCTAACTACATGAAACATGTATAATAATAATGGAAAGCATAGATGTGAGTCTCCTCAGTGGGGACAGTGATTGTGGAATAATTATTGCCACGTAGAGTAATTCAAGAAAGGCAGTGCCTGACAAAAAAAAAACAAATAACAAATGGATGAACATTCAGCAAGGCAGCGGGGGAGTCGCCAATCCCACCTAAAGAACATCTTGGGGCAGCAAAGGATTGTCCCCATCTGCATGGTCCTGAGTCACCTTGGGCTGCCGAGCTCCCACCCGTCCCATCCGAGGCAGCCTCAGTCCCCCCAGCGGAGTTGTCCATGGCACTGTGGGCACTCAGAGGCAAAGTCAGTCCACTGGGCCCCCCACATCAAAAGCCCAAGGACCACCTGCCCCACAGCACCACTTGAGCTTCCGTTTGATCAGTGTTCATCAGTCCCGGCCACCAGTCCACCTGAAGTTACGCACACTCCTACCCCACTGGGCTCACAGCATCAGAGACAATTCCCTCTAGGGATCCCTCAAATGCAGAGTCTGTGGCATCACCTCACCAGCAGGCCACCCGGGAGATCCAGCTGCAGACCAGCAGCCCCCAAGGACCCAGAAGCAGCTAAATCTGGCTCTGCATTGAAGGTAAGTATCCCCTCTCTCATCACTACCACAAGATATGCAAGGGCAGAGACATCCATATCTTGAACAGGGAGGAGGCCATCCAGCCTTAACCTCAGCAGCTGCTCTAGATGTGGCCAAAAGAATTGACTCATAGTCGAAGATAACCCCCACCGACCGAGGGGGGTGGGAGCGGGGCCGGAGTCCCCCCGTCTTCTTAAGCATCCAGAAATGGGACTCCATGAGCAGTCCCCAGCAGGTAAGCAGCCATCTGTAATATGTCTCCACCGTCATATGCATGTCAACAGGGCTTGGCCTGATAGTAGGCCTGACAGTAGGCCTGGGGTACTGGTGGTATCAGTATCTTGTGGTGATAGGTCCAAAATTGGATCTCTTAAGGTAGCTGGAATGTTCACAAATAAATTGCCCATATTTTTGGGGGTCACAGGAGGCTGATGACAGAGCCCTCGAGGATGGCCACCACTCAGCTTGGTGGTCCAGCCCCACCCGCCAAAGAAATTGACCTTACAAAGAGACCAAGCAATATTGACCATAGAGAAATTTTAATGAATCATAAATTACTAGAAAATCTGTTTTATAGGTGCATGGTTTGTTACCATACTGGGCATGATCTTCCTATCCCAAGATTGGAATAACGATTGTTACTAAAAGTTCAAAAGTTATCTCAAAGAAGTCAGTTCCAGCAGATGTTTTCATCAACAATCAGACTGGTAAAATAAGTGCAATGGCAACAACATTCTCCATAGATGCATTTCCTCAAACATTCAATCATTCCAGAGATCCTTGGTCCATAAGTATGGTAATTTCAGAGGAAATCTATATGGACTTCAAATGGTGGCAGATTCTTTCAAACCTTGATAGTTTTTCCCCTAGGAGAGATTGAGTGGATAATACTGCAAACAGAAGCCAGTGGATTAGGATGGGGAGCTCATCTTCTACATATGAATGACCAAGGGAAATGGAAGCAGAACTCTTCACACATTCCAGCCAACCTGCTAGAGTTGAGAGCTGCCTACCTAGTACATCTGCAATTTCAGTACTACCTATTAGGGTAGTGGGTAAAGATCAGCATGAACAATCGAGTTGCGGTGTCATTCATAAACAAATAAAGAGGTACAAGCAGCAAAGCTCTACTCCAAGAATTGAAACCCATTATGATAAGGATCTAGAAGATGGTGTTGGGACTTTTAGCCATCTATGTTCCAGGAGAAGAGAATTTGAGAGCACATTTCCTCAGTTGCCATTCTTTGGACCCCATCGAATGGCAATTGTAACTTCAAATTTTTTCTTCTCTAAAACAGGAGTAGATCTCATGGCAACAGCATCCAATGCTCAGCTTCCAACATTCTTCTCCCGAACCTTCCATCCATAAGCTCTAGCCGGGGATGGCTTATCCAACCCATTGTCATTCAATCTAGCGTATGTCTTTCTTCCATTTCCCCTTATTTGGAAAATGCTAAAGAAGATCAAGCAGGAACCACTTCAGGTTATTCTAATAATTCCATTCTGGCCTTGCAGGCCCTGGTTTCCCCTCCTAAGATCTCTAGCAACAGAACATCCATGGAAAGTCCCAATGTCTCATAATCTTCCCTCCCAGGGTTCAACAATACATCCATCCCTGTCTTCATTTGATGTCATGTATATTGAATGGAGGGACTTAATTTTACAAGTTTTTTCTAAAGCGGTAATTGATACCTTACTACAATCCAGAAAAAAATATACTTTCCTACATATTACAGTATCTGGATGTCTTTCATAAACTGGTCTAAAGAAAAAGTCATTTACATTTCCTCTCCTACAGTCTCAGATGATTTGAATAACCTACAAGCTGGGTTGAACAAGGATCTCAGCTTAAGTTCTTCGAGTTCAAGTTTCTGCTTTATCAGTTCTAACTGGGGAAAGATGGGTATTGGATCCTACGGTGGACAATTTTCTTATGGCTATAAGAAAAGTTTGTCCTCTTATCAAATCTTTGTCCCTCTACTTTTTGTCCTAACCTCCATTTGAACCATTGCAAGATGCAATGGACAGTCTTCTTACTTTGTGTCTCCTCTTGGTCGACCTTTACGTCTGGAAGTAGAATATCTGAAATTCAGGCATTATTAGCAGATGTTATACTCCACACAATTCCAGAATTTTATCCAAAAGACATCTCCAATTTTAATCTCAATGAGGAAATTATATTACTATGTTTCTTTCAATATCCCAGTAACGCTAAGGAAGAAATATGGCATACATTGGATGTAGCAAGATGCCTTTCAGTTTAGCTTTCAAAAACAACCAAATGGAGACAGTCTTCTGGACTTTTCCTCAATTTTGCCAGACACAACAAGGTTATAGCTGGGTTGTAGGGGCCATTTTAACTGCATATCAAGAGCAAGGAGCACAAGTACCTGCTGGTTTAAAAGCACATTCTACTAGATCTGCTAGTTCTCATCATAGGCAGTGGCCGCTAACACTCCTATTGAGAGCATATGTAGAGCCACAATATGGTTATCAGCAAACGCCTTTGTAAAGCATTACGCTTTGGATGTACAGGCAAAAAGATTATATATATAAATTGGGTAAATCCTATTAAGGTAAGAAATAACACAACATAGTGCAGAACCGTGTGTTTGCAATATTTAAATATGAGACAAATGGCCACTCACAATGGTAGGAAATAAAAGAGCCTTCAAAGTATATACAAGTGCAGGTCAGCTGGTGATTCAGGAAAATGGGTCCCTCCGAGTTATAAAAAGAAACAACAAAGTTTCCATTTATGAGGCAATTCATATAAAAAGTGTAAAAATGAATTTATTAAGTCACATAGAAGTTGACAGGTATCTGCATAAAATTAGTCGTCCTACGCGTTTCATCCCATTTAGGAACTTCCTCAGGGACAATCAAACAATAATAAAGTGCATAATACAAAATCACCCCCCATAGGTCCTTAAATATTGTGAATTTTGATTGTAGCTCTCCTTTGATAGGTTCCTGGTACTTCATTCAGGTGTTCTCAATTTTCTCCGTGTTCTCGGCTTTCCGACGCCATCTCGTAGTGACGCCTTGCGTTCCACGTGTGCGTTCCATTGTAAGTGTCCGGAACTTCCGGTATATAAAGTTGCTTTCCACTTGCATTTCACTTTATGGTCTTTGATTGTTTCACCTCCAAACATACTTAAAGTCCATGCATGGCACATGGATTATAAGGAAAGAGGGGAAGGGGGCATAAAAATGTATTACATAAAAATATGAGTGTATTAAATATAAAAACTTAAATGTAAAAATCAATGATATATGACTGGAAGATAAGCAGACTAGAATCATTTATTAAATTGTTTAAATTGTTTATTGGACCTCTCCCCTTGTCATCTGGAATATATAAATTTTATGACTCTTGTTTTCAAGTCCTACTGGACATATAATATTATCTCTGTTTTTAGTATATCTCTGTTTTTAATATATTGACGTCCAGATGAAAAGCTGAGTATCTATTCCATAAAACCACATATCTCATTATAGAAAAAAATAATAAGATAAAAAATATTGACAATGAAGATAATAAAATAATAATAACAACAATAGTGAACATAATAAGTGGGAAATGGAAAAAAGTTGACATGGTCAAATACATGTATAGCACAAATATGTAAGAAATTAGAACATATTAATGACCAATAAAAAATTAAAATAATAATAAAAAATATATATAAATATATATATAAAATAGAAAAATATATATGAAAAATAATATATATATAAAAAAATGGGAATTTATTTAAGAAAAATATGTCGACCATATGAACTTTTAACCATTTGCAAACTTTTAATTCAGAAAACACCATAAATCAATGTCTATGTTTAGTCCCCCTGGTTGTAGAGTTTTTAAAATATTTATCCAATATGTTTCTCTCTGTGCCAATTTTTTGGTTATATTACCTCCTCTCCGGTGATTTTCTACTTTGAAATCTTTCAAATTAAATTTTGGACACATATTACAGTGTATAGGGACTTTTTAGAATTTTTTCTAATGTTATTTTGGTGTTCTAAAATACATTCTTTTAATTTGCTATAAGTCCTGCCCACATACTGCGTCCCACATGGGCAGTGGAGCAGATAAACTAAGTTTTTAGTTTCACAATTAATATTAGACTCTATAATAAAAACTCTTTGCCAGTTAATGCCAGTTTGGAATTGTTTTATTTTTAAAAATCTTTGAATTCTGCATGCTTTACACTTATTACAAGTGTGAAAACCCTTGTTGTCCTTCCTCAAGCTGATTTTTTGTGTGTATTTAAGTGCCTCGCTTGGTGCCAAAAAGCTTTTGAAATTTTTTGCTTTCCAGAAAATGACCAGTGCTCTTCCTGGAAGAACCTTACCTAACACTGGATCTCTTAATATTATTTTCCAATGATTATTCAGAATGGTTTTTATTTGATGGTGCTGTATATTGTACTGGGTTATGAAGGCATATCATCATTTCATTCTTTTTCTTTTTCTTGTTATTATTTATTAAATTACTTCTGTTCCCATGTTTTCTTTTCGGACTTCTTTTTTTAATGTTTTTTTCTCTTATTTTTTTTTTTTTTTTTATATAAGTTTACCACATAGATGTTTGGCCTGTTTTTGATAGTCAGAATCTTTTGAACAATTCCTTCGAATACGGTTTAGCTGGCTTTTGGGTATAGACTCTAGCCAGTTTTTATGATGGCAGCTTTTTCTATATATGAAACTGTTGCCTTCAGTTTAGATTGAATCTCTTGGCCATCTATGTAGAATGTGATATCCAAAAAATTAATTGTGTCAGTATGAAAAATGTGTGGGAATTTAAGGCCATAATCGTTGATGTTAATGAACTCTAACAATTTGATTAATACAGAGAGGTTATGTCTGTTGTAACCCATATATAATCCCTTTCCCATTTCATATCTTCCATGATTTTCAGAATATGGGAGGAGTCACTCAAATAAGAGGGAGCCTCCTGCGCATATTTTTGCAAATGATGTTCTATGAATTCAGAT